CTCCCCGTGTTTTAACCAATTTGAAGGGAAACCAAAAGAAGCCTCGCCTGTTGAAATGAACTCAGCCGGTCGCAGATCTTTCTGAAGAGCTCGCCTCGCTTCTACGGCTTCATCGTGTGGACCAGCATCATCGGAGGGTGCCCCCGTCCGAGAAAAAATCGCGCGAATCGGCGTCTGTCGAAACAGCGGGTTGCCCAAAGGATGCCATGGGTTGTTCCCAGCCGATTTGAGGATGCCCTTGTGGATCAAGTGCCTTTGGATGGATCTTTGGGCCTTGCATGAAAACAACCCTTAGGGCCTTAGGGGTCTAGTCTGACTCTGAGCCATCTTGCCCATGTCGGTGACAGTCTGACATGGGCAACCGACCAACATGGGACCGCTGAATATGCTCAGCTGTTTAAAGCCAGTTTTCCAGGTTTGGAAATCTGATGTTGAGTTCCTCATGTTGGCTTGCCCATATCAGTCTTCCCCTCTTAGCTTTCCCACATTGGTGTTCCCATTTCGGTGTTCCCATTTTGGTGTTCCCATTTTGGTGTTCCCATATTTGCCAATGTCGATCCTCAGTTTGAGCAACCTTTTTTGAATAAGCCTTGCCCGCTCTTTGGCTGGAACTGACCCATCACTGATCCATTCCCCAGCGTTTGAGCTCTTAGAGGTGCGTTTGTCTTTCTTTTCTGCTTTCTTTTTTTGGGGGGGGGCGGGGCTTGAACATTTTTGGTCGGAAGGTTGAACACTTAAAAAAGTGCTCCTAGCTTGGATTTGGAAGCACATAGGGGCCTGTTACTTACATTTAGGGAACTTGCAGGTTTGGTAGGGACATTGTCCAGTACACCCCCGCCCCCCCGACACACATGCCCCTTCTTGCAAGCCTCTCAAAGTAGCCCATTTGGGTAGAGCCATATAAGAGGCGCGGAAGGTTGGGGTGCCTGGGGGCGGGGTGTACCTGAAACTTCGCGTTATATTTAGCGCGATATGTATTTTGAGCGTGGTATGCCCATTCAAGTCTGTATGTTTGACACCAGTTTGGCCCTTATGAGGGAAGCCTCTCTCTCTAGCAAAGACACATTCTTGAACAGACCGCTATGGCCAAGAAAGGCACAGGTCTGTCTATCTGAGTCTATCTATCGCTCAAGTTGTTAGTTCGTTTCACGTTAGTTTGGCTTGGGTTGCTGTAGGGGCCAGGCCCGTGGGCCCGTGGGCCCGTGGAGGGCCCATGCTCGGGCCCATTCGGGCCCGCGGAGCATCGTGTGCGAACGGCGATTTGTGCGAAAGGTACAGCTGGAGCCGCATGTGGGACCACATCTGGGACTACTGCAACCAGGCCTGGTGGTTTTAAGCATCCTTTGGGCTAGGCCAATTGATTGGCGTGTTTCCTTTTGGCGGTGAGATGACACGCGTGGAGCCTCTGTCTTGAGACCCCAACCTCCATCTTGGAAGCAGTTCCAGGGACTTGGGAGCACCTTGAGCCTGAAGCCCGGGCCAAAGAAAGCGGCGGTTGAAGGCCACCAAAACCTAAGTTTGCCTCCAGGGAGATTGCTGGGTACACTCAGAGACACACAGAGACACACACACACACACATACACACACTCATACGGACTCACAATCATACACATACACTCAGACATGCACACACACAGACACACACTTGTTCTGCTCCCCGGAAAAGATTCTATTCACGCTTTTTCGTCTCTCGCTGTCACGCATCGAAGCAGGTACGCGACCCCAGCGTCCCAGGATTATGTCAGTCCCAAGTGCAGCCCTCCTTGGGCAACCAGCTGCACTGGGAGGTTGCTCCCCTGAGAAATCCTTGGCTACCCTTGTCGCGCACAAAGTTCAGCTGCCCCACAGGGTCAAACACGAGCTGAGGCCCCTTCGGTCGTTTGGAGCGCCCGCGGGGCGCTCCCGGCATACGTAGCACAAGTGGCTTGCCTAAACCAGCTTACTGGCGCAAGCCACTCCCGGTATTTTGCATCTTGACCGCAAGCATAGCTCGTGGGCTATTGAGGCAAGTTGTTTTGAGGCAGATCAGTTGCGTCTCTCAGGTAAACTCGGGGGAGGTTTATTCGTGGACTCGACCAGCGATCAGTTATCCTGAAGGTTCATTATATAGTTGAAGAGCTCTGCGATCAGGAGCATCCGTGCTACCAAGGCCACGGACAAAGCCTCTCAGTTTAAAAACAGAGTGTAATTAGAACTCTGGTCCTAGAGTTTGGACCGTCGCCCGGCACTTTGCCAGAATTCCCGATCAAAAGGTACACACTTGAACTGCCCCTCCCCGCCCGGAAGGAGATTCTATTCAATTTTGTTCGTCTCTCGCAGTCATTGTCACGCATCGAAGCAGGTACGTGATCTCGCGCACAGGCACAGGCACACGCGCAGGCAAACGCACGCCCACGCGCACGCGCAAGCGCGCGCGCGTGTGTGTTTTGTTGCACGCGTTTGCCCGCTCGGACTCTTGTTTTTGCGGCACATCCACCATTCGTGCAACCGCTTGTCAAGAAGTTGCGATGTCTTAGGGGCCCTTTGGAGGCTACCGTGTTTGAGGCGAATGGTGTGACAAGATGCAATCTGTTGTTTGAAGTCAAGGGAACATCCTCCAAAGGCCAGTGGCCGACACGGCTTGGTGGCAATTGCTACGGGGCCCCCTGAATTTTTCGAGCACATCCCTTCGGGGGTAAACAGCACACCCTGGCGTGCAGAGGGAGGGCTTTGTCTCCAGCGGTCGAAGCTGGCAGGCCTGTCCACTCTGCTTGTTGGGTCGTCTTGTTCAATAGTATTGGACCGGTGTTGCCCTTTTGTTTGGTACCGCTGACAAGATCGGGTCAAAAAAGTGGATTTCTAAAGATGGTGAGTTTTCTTCGTTTGTTTTCTTCAAGCTCCATCCAAAAGGATCAAAAGGGGTCGCCAATTGTAGGAGCCACCCTCGCGAATTAGCTACTGGTTGTAGCAGACAGACAAAATTCAGGGCAACCCCAACAGCTAGTGTCTCCCACAGACCCCTTGAGGATTCTTTTGAGACCCCACTTTGGGTTTTGAATATGTGAGCATGCAATCAGGGTAGTGCTGGAACCCCCCCCCTCATTAAATGAAAGATGTAACTGGAAGAAGGGGGTGACCCCAGAATTCCAGTTTTGTTGTTGTCACTTGTAGTTGAAAGTCTGCAATTCCAATTGGGGCTCCCCTTCTTCTCATGGATGGAGGTGGGCAGCATGGTTGCATGTTTGGGGTAAATCCAACCATATGCCAGTTTTTAAGTGTACCCTTGACAGCGACACACCTACATTTACTCAGGTCGTTGCCCTGAATCGATGAACCTCACCGACAGGGCATGCTGTACCGCCACAACCCCTACGTCTACCCGGTTCCAGACGATGACGAATGAGAGAGGCTGGCTGAAGGTCGAACGATGCCAGGCTCCGAAGGGTTGCATTAAACAAAGGCAATGTTCAAGCGTGTTTTGTTTTTAACGCGTTTGGTTCTTTCCATTTTGAGTGGGGGGTTGCAAAGAGCTGTAGCTTTTTTTACCGGGGGGTTGGAAGTCATGAGTCGCTTCTTGGAAGCATCGCACCTTGCAGCTTCATGACCATACTTCCTGCAATCAACCTCCATCCCAAAAGGGGGTCCTGCCCCAAACGGATATATTGCTGTACGCATGATTCTTTGCGCATGACAGTTTGATGTGTTTTGTATCAGAAGTCTGTGGATAATTATGTTTTCCATCTCCAATTGTTTAATGTTTGAGTGGGTCATATCATATGACCCCTGGAAGGCTTGCAGGCTTGAACAGGGTTGCTCCGAACCATGAAGCAATGACCACACCATAAGTGTAGACAATTAGTACAGTTTGTTCTACTTCTTGAGGAGCAAATGTCTAAGACTTGTGACCGGGTCGTCGGCTCAATCTTTTGAACATTGACATCTTGGCTGGTCCAACGTAGACACGTCGCCCCAGACTGCTTGGTTCAGATCGTGCGGGCGATGGGATCTCATTCTCGACAAACAGAAGGGACCCCTTCAAGCAAGTTTCTACACACTTGGGCTTCCCTGCATGTACAACCAAGAAAGGGAGTCAAAAGGCAACTCCTGGTCATGCAGAAAAGCTTTGCATGAAGTGCTGAAGGAGCTCACCTGGTGACGTTCAAAGGGAAATAGACTTGAATCCTCTAAGTCTGCTGGCCCCCTACCACCTCATACCAACCCCTAAGCGATGCATGAAAGGGGGATGGGCGCCCTCCCAATGAAGGGACTTGCCCGTCTGCATTTTGCCTTTGTAGGTGCAGACAGGGGAGCGCTTTGCGCAGTTGGGTGGGCTACCTCAGCTCCCAGCTACAGGTGGCTGCTCGCGCGAGAAGTGAGCCAAGCCAGTGCCCGGTGCGTCAAAACCACGGGCCTCACGTGATCTCACGCCCGGCGCCGCCGTTTCTCCAAAGATCCCCGCTGTTGCCCTTCGTAGACGAACCTATTTATCCAGTGGCCACCCTGATGTCTTTTGTCGATGGGGAATTTCAGCAGAAAAGGGATGTCAGATAACTTGCCCCCCCCCTCGCGCAAAGCCACTTGGTACGACTAGCATCAAGCATAAACATGTTTCGGCAGCTGCTACTTAGCAAGAATTGCTTGACGCTTCACCCCTTCAGCCAACTTTGATGGATGTTGCTCGGGAGAGAGAAAAAGCAAGCGGACCTGGGCATGGAGTGGCCAGCCTCCAAGTGCCAGATGAGAAACTTTGCCATCCTCAAACAATGCGCCGGTCAAAGCCAAAACAGGGGCCTGTGTTTCCCCGGATCCCCCCGCTGGTTCCCCAAAAACCTTTAATTAGCATGGTCTTCTTCGATCACAGGATGACAGGAACACGTGCTCTGTGCGTGGCTAACGTTTACATTGGTGACAACTGTGACGATGGTCTGGTAGCGCGGATGCGAGCTCGACTTTGAGATGCAAAGGAGCAAGTTTGGAGCACGGCGCCAAAGTCGGCCGAAATTTTGCCCCTTTGCACCGCAGCCTTGGAGCTGGCTCTTGCCCCCCTCCTGGCAACACCTGCAGCCATGCTGGTGCGATCTCGAGTTCGGGCCTCAGCCGACAGCGCCGGAGTCCTCCGTTGGAACAGATGCACTGCCAAGCCATGCCAGGTCTGATCATTTGCTTCACTCAAAAAGGCAGCGAGCAAGACTTTGCTGTGCTAAAGGAATTGAGAATGAGCATGGAACCTGACAAGGCATTCGTTTGAAAAGATCTCCGGCGAGGATCGGGCCTTTTCGATATTTTTGCAGGGGAGCTGCCCTTGAATGGCGCACGGGCTGGCGCAAGATCAAAAGGCTCCGAGCCTTGAATGACCAAACCAAACACAGGAAGCATACCAATGGTATTGGGTTCTTTTGTTTTTTCCTTCTCCCGCAGGTAACTTACGAGCCCCAGCCTCTTACTGTAATTCCGGTCAGATGGTTGGTTGGTTGGCTGGCTGGCTGGCTTGTTTGTTGTTTGTTTGTTTGTTGGTTGGGCGGCCGTGCCCCCAGCATCCCCGGTTGCTTGGTGGCTGGCCATGATTTGGTGTTGCTTGTTCAGTTGGTTCGAGGTTGGTTAGACCAGAGATGATTAATAAGAATCCAGATATGACATTCCCGAGTTTTTAGCCCTTCGTAATCCTACATTCTCAGACTGGAGCTCTACAGCCGGTTTCGGGTGAGTTTCGGGCTTGGGATCGGAGAGAGCGACGCGCTTCAGGTGCTGAGCGCGCTGCGCCAGAGCCGGCCGAAGCGCGGGGGCTTCGGCTCCCCCAAGGACCATGAGCCCGCCCGGCGCCTCGAGAACCCGAGCCGTGGAAAGCCGGCCTTGATCTCCGAAAAGGGGCCGAAGTTTGGGTTTGGGAGGGTTACTCAAACCTCATGGTGGTGGCAGCGACGGCGAAACGACATCCCCAATTCCTCTCAACGTGCATTGAACAGGGGTTTGGGGTTGCCAAAGCCTGAAAGCCTGCGGTAACCCTTCGAAGGGTTGTCAAATTTCTGGCCCAAAACCACGACGTCAGAGATGCTGAGGTGGTTCGGAAACCACTTCCAACTCGGTTGAACAGAAGATGCTAGCCTGCCGATAGGTCGTGCTCCTCGTTCGTGGGTCCAAGACCGACATCTACAACGGAGTCTAAATTCAGCGGGGCTTTACTTGCAACCCGGTCATGGTTGTGGGAAGTTTGCTTTTATATTTTCTGTGAGCGCCCAAGGGGATCCCTTTTTCTAGTGATCTTTGTGTTGATAAGTAGACGTGGGGATGGCCGACTGTGGTATCACCAGCAAGGGCGGTTTTCCAGATTTCCATGCGTAAACAAATATGTAAAAAATGTGTAGCGGGCTTTGGGGAGGTAGCCTTGTTTGTCGAGGCTGTGGGGGAGCTTCTATGCTAAGAGGATTGCAGCTGGACCTCAAACAGGACGTCAAATTCGGAGACCTGCTGAAAAAAAAACCACAAAACAACAAAACTTTAGAGCCTCCGGCTCAGTCCGCCGACATTGGCATCTAGCTTGTCTCCTTCTTCCTCTCGCCCGTGTCCCCCTAGTATGCTCTTCTGTCCTCTCTGGTTCCCCCATCCTCCCCGACACGCCGAGCAATGTCGGCGGAGTGTTGAGTGCCACCAAGAGGGTGCTCCCAAAAAGGGCGCCGAACCATGCCTCCAAGTAAAATGTTGGGAAAGGGTGGCGACCAAACAGGGCGTACAATTGCGAACAGGACGGCTCGCCGTTTAGGGCACCTTAGTGCTGGGTGGTATGTCATGGCCACTGCATGTCATTTTGGCGGGGTGCGCGGATAAGCTGATTTCTGAGGGGTGTTGAGGTTGCCCCTTGTACGGCATTCTTGCTTGCGAGAAGCGTGGCTTAGCATGGCCCAAGTATCCGACACGAAGGACATTGGGGGCGACACTTGGAAGGAAGCTGGGGTTGGGGAATTTGCCAGGACATTTGGGGGAAACTGGGGGGGAAATTGGGGGGAAGTCGGATGGAAATTGAAAGGAAAGTGGGAGGGAATTGGTGAGAAAGTAAGGCGCAATTTGCGGGGAAGCATTGGGGGAAATTAGGGGAAATTGGGGGGAAATTGGTGCCAATTGTCAAGGAAATCGGAAAACACAATGTTTTTTTCAATGGTGTCAGCAAAGGAAAAACACCGAACACCGTGTGTCTCAAAGTTTTCCGCAAAAGGCAGCACAAAACCTCAGCCGGCAGAAAGAGGCGGCGGGAGGATTCGAGCCTGGGACCCCCGTTGGATTCGGGGGGGGGTGGCGACCGAAAAACCATGCGTATTTGACGTGTCCCGGGGGGGGGACTAAGGGGGGGGTTATCCTCTATCCTCTCTTAGGTATCCAATAGTCCTCTCTTAGGTATCCGACACGCCGAACAATGTCGGCGGACATGCTGATTGAGACGCCAACCATTTTGCGAGGTTTCTCAACTCCCTGATCGCCGCGTTTGATTGTGACATCCTTCTCTGCAAAACTCAAGTGACCCCCAAAAGTGTAGAGAGACTCTTTGAGCGTGCCTGTACTTTTTGTCAAAACTGGGGAAGCATGTGGAGGCCAGGTTTGAACGGAGCCAAATGGATGATCTCGAGGGTGTCCCCAGTTTTGACATCCATGTGGCTGGTGTCCAAAATCGGAACCACAAGGCCCTAGAAAGATGTTCTTTCAGGACAGGTCCTCCAGAGTTTTTGCAGGGCTGTTTGTGCCTTCGGGTTGTAGATCTGAACCGGCACCTAGGCCTGGATCGAGCGGTGGAGTGCGAACCGGCGAGAGGGTCAGGCAAGGTGCGCAAATGCAGATGGATGTGTCTGGCCAAGTCATAAGAAGGCTCACCTGGGGGCAAAACGAGCTCACCCATGACGAAGGTCCCTCATTTGGTGATTCCGGATTTCAGATGTGTGAGTGATGCCAATTTATGGTGCCCTGTTCCTGTTGCGTCTATTATTTTGAAGGGAGTGTCAGTAACGGGCCGCGGAGTGTAGATGTTCCAAGGCTGTCAACTCCGCATTTGGGTTTCGCTTTGAACCTGCTGGCTGTGGACCGTTCCAACAACGCATGTTTGGGCATGGGACATGGAGCGGGTGTCCTAAAATTGCGACCTCTTTTGAATAGTTTTAAATGCAACCGAAAAAGAACCCACCCAGTTGTAGGTTCGGCCTAATTTAGGAAGCACTCCAGAAGCGATGGAGAGCATGAGCAACCATTCCGCCAGATCCCAGATAACAGCTTGCTCACGCCCAACGCTCAATGCTTACAATGTTTGGCAACCCAATAGAATCTACAACCACCACATGGCATCCTAGCATTCCGACTACATGATCCTTGGCTCATAGAAAGCTGTGAGATGTTTAAACACATCAGCCCGGAAACCGTGCCTTGTACCCCCTATAGAATGACGTCGGCGCCACGTGTAGCAGTACTTAGCTATACGACCACGTGCGCACGAGTGTCCCTGCGCTTGCATACCACGGTATGTGGAAGAAAGCTGCAAGGAAAGACTAGCTCGATTCCCATCGGGGCAAATCACAGAAAATGGCTTGCATGGCTGCGCGCGCACGAGGTGTGCTTGTGAACCCGCAATGCATGAAAAACCGCGTTTGGACCTATGGCCATCGATAAGCCCCGGTCCAACAACATACATTCACGTCAGCCCTGATGAATAATTATCTTCGAATTATGAATCAAGGGGTTCTTACCTGACCTAGCAAGGAATCGTGCAAAAAGCGGAAACCTCCTTGCTGAAGAACTTGGGGGTTTACTGACAGGGTTGGGCCCACCGCCCCTTGGCTTCACATTCTGGAACAACAGTTGCTTAAACAACCTCCCCTTTTTTCATTTTGCAGGGGGCCAGGTTCTAGTTTTTCTGCTTACTTACCATCAGTTGCTGAGCAGCATCGTTTTCTCTTTGTGCCTGACTGGTTCCCACGGACGGCTGGGCCAGTTTCGTTTCCCTCGAACAACCCAACAATCAACGAGAATCAGCAACCAATCAAGCAACGAACGTGGTGTGGGGTCGGTCGTCCTAGCCAATTCATCAACGAGCTAAATCAATCTCGCAAGCAACTAACCAACCGACCAAGACGGCGGGAAGCATGGCAGTTGTATTTTGCGGAGACACACAGACAGACACACACGCACGCACACACACACACAGACACGTGGCAGGACAATATGGACTGGTTCTTCCGCCTGTTCAATTCCACTCGCATCTACGAGGCTCCATTTCGGGGCTGAAGCTCTCGCGGTGTCTGATGTGATGCAGTCCAAATCAGCAAAGTTCGTTATAGACCCACCCCGCAAGCGAAGTGTGTTTGAGAGGAGGAGGAGGGTGTGGGACCAAACCCCGACTTGCGGTCCTTCGGGGGAAGTAAATGATTTTGTTCGTGATGCGGTTGCTGGGGTGTGTCTGCATACCCCTAAACAATGTGTTTCTTCGAGGGGTTCAATCCCTTTGTCAATTTTGGGGAGGATGCCTTGCTCAGTTGAGGCAACCCTTACCTGCGTGGACAGCAGCTGTGTAATTTGGACATTTGGTCGATCTTCTTTGAGGTTTGGGGTGGTCACGCTTCGCAGTTCCGCACAAGACGAGCATTCACTGTTTTCAGACTTAGCAGTGCTTGTCGCCCCGCACTTTGATTGTTTACCATTCGTTCTTTGGTCAATTTCTTTAACTCGCCGGGTAGGGGTATCCCAAAATTGGGCGGGGGGAGGGCTCAGTATCCAAGAAGTGGGGGCCGGGTGGGATTGATTCCTTTGGATGTTGTCTACAGGTGGGTGAACGTAGATGGATGGCACAATCCCTGCCCCTCCATTTTGGTTTAGTACTCCCCTTCCCCTACCCACAAGGGAATGTGCCATCTACCTTCACCTGGTATGGGTTTCTGCTTTAAGTTGTTTACAGCGAAACCAAACGACAGGCTGTTGAAATGAACTCAGCCGGTCGCAGATCTTTCTGAAGAGCTCGCCTCGCTTCTACGGCTTCATCGTGTGGACCAGCATCATCGGAGGGTGCCCCGTCCGAAATAAGTTCGCGCGAATCGCCGCTTGTGGAAACACCGGGTTGCCCAAAGGATGCCATGGGTTGTTACCCGCTGATTTGAGGATGCCCTTGTGGATCGAGTTCTGTTGAATGTATTATATGACAGGGGGACCGCTACATATCCCAAAGTCAATTTTCCAGGTTGGTTTTCCGATGTTGGTTTCTCATGTTGGCTTCCCATTATCGGTGTTTCCAAGTTTCCCAATTTCGACCTTCAGCCCATGTTCTCAAGAAGCCTTGCCCGCTCTTTGGGCTGCTGGAACTGACCCATGCTATCCATATCCAAGCATTTGACCTTTCGGTTTTCCTTTTGTTGTCTTCTTCTTTATCGGGGGGCATATTTTGAGTCAAACGGTTGAACAGTCAAAAAGGTGTTCCTAGCTTGGATTTGGAAGCACACAAACAAGGGGGCCTGTTCAAGGCCCATTCAAGGAACTTGTGGTTGGGGAATTGTCCAGTAACTCCCACCCTGGCACATGACGAAATAGCCTTGCCAGAGTCCCCAGAAGACAGGGTAGAGCCATGTAAGAGGCTCGTAAGTTTCGGGTGACTGGGGGCGGGGGGTACCAGAAAGTTCCTTGATATCCGGCGTGAGACGTATTTCAAGCGTGGTATTCACATTCAAGTTTGTATGTTTGACACCCGTTTAGCCCTTATGAGGGAAGCCTCTCTGACAAAGACAGGTTCTTGAACAGACCGCTATGGCCAAGCAAGGAAAAGGGTCTATTTGCTTGTTTGCATCTTGCTTGCTTGCTGGATTTGCTTGATTTTCTTGCTGGCTTGCTGGCGGATTTTGCTTTGTCATGTTTTGTTTGTTTGCTTCCCTGCTTGCTTGCTTGCTTGCCTGGTTGCTTGCTTGTTTGCTTGTGGGCTTGTTTCGTTTCGTTGTGTGTTTTCTTCTTTTGTTTGTTTGCTGGCTTGCTGGCTTGTTATGTTTTATCGTGTTTTGCTTGTTTGTTTTGTTTGTTGGTTTGTTTGTTTGTTTGTTTGTATGCTGGGCTTGTTTTATTGTCTCGTATTTTGTTTGCTTGTTTGCTCCATGTCGGTTTCAAAGGGAAATGGTCATGACTGACACTTATATCATTCCTACTGCCGCCAATAAAGATGAGATGATTCCTTTCAAACAACAAGTGGGACTCTCTTGATCAGTGGGAACATGCATGAACATAGAACCTCCGAAAGAGCGGTTCTCGAATCGGAGATTCCTCTAGGATTTGTTGGGTTTCTTCCGTTTGACTTCAGGAGAGAATTGCGCGGTTTCAGATGTTGCATCACTGAATCTTCAGGCGCTTGCGAATCGGTGGGTGCGCAAGGTACAGCTGGAGCCGCATGTGGGACCACATTTGGGACTACTGCAACCAGGCCTTGACGTGCTAATACGCAAAGCTCAGGTAAAGTTACAATTTATTTTGATTCTGAATCATTTGAATAATTAAATCGTGTTGTTAGTATGTTTGGGTCTCCGTTGGTTTTTTCTGGTAATTACTTAAACATATATTAGATAGATATTGATGCAGCAGGCTTTCCCATATTTTCCCCTTGGTGGTATTGGGCTAGGCCAATTGATTGGCGACTTTCCTTTCGGCCCAGGTGATGTTTGCACAGACAGAGTTGGAGCCAATGACCCCCACATTCGGCTTGGAAGCAGTTCCCTTGAGCCTGGGGCCCTTGCAGAGTTGAAGGCCACCAAATCCGAAGTTGGTGAAAGGGGGCCTACCCCTACTCCAGGATTACTGGGTTTATATTTGGGAGAAAGGTGCGGTGGTGACGCCCGAGAAGCCTCTTTGCATGGAGGCTCTCTGACTTGGACGGCCTTTGGTATTTCTTTGCTCCAAAACGGGTCGCCAATTGTAGGAACCCACACGAATAGGCTGGTGGTAACGGACAATGCTAGCTAACATTGCAATTAGTCGATGAATCTCAGCGGCAGGGCATGCTGTACCGCCACAACCCCTACGTCTACCCGGTTCCAGACGATGACGAATGAGAGAGGCTGGCTGAAGGTCGAACGATGCCAGGCTCCTAATCTTTATGTGAAACAAAACCAATGTTCAAGGTTTGTACGATTTTTGTTCTTTTCATTTTTAGTGGTGGCTGCAAAGAACAAAGCTGTTGCTTGTTACCAGGGGGTGGGAAGTTATGATTCGCTTGTTGGAAGGATCCCAACATCAACTTGGATCCCAGAAGGTTGCCCCAAACGGATATATTTCTGTTCGCATGTGTCTCTGCGCCTGACGGGTTTGTGTTTCGGCTCCGCATGGAGTGGGCCATATGACCCCGGAAGCGCTCCGAGTGGTTTGCAGCCTTGAGCAGGATGGCTGCGACCTTGAAACGATGACCACACCACAAGCGTGGAGTTTTCGCATTGGGTCTTGTGTTCTACTTCTTAGAGACCAAATTTCTAAGACCCCGGTGACAGGTTTGGATCAATCCTTTTGAACTTGGAGATTTGGCTTGTCCAACGTATCTAGACACGTCGCCCCAAGACTGCTCGGTTCAGATTGTGCGGACGAGAGGCCACTTTCTGGGTTGGCCCTGGATGTGCAACTAAGAAAGGGGATCAAAGGCAACTCCTGGTCAGGAATATCATTGCTTCTGCAGAAACGCCTTGCACGAAAGGCTGAAGCAGCTCACTTGGTGACGTTCAAAGGGAAATAGACTTGGATCCTCTAAGTTGGCTGGTCCTCTAGCACCTCATCCCCACCCTAAGCGATGCATGAAAGGGGATGGGCGCACCTTCAAGGAGCTTTTCGATCGACACGTTTCGGTGCAAGGGGCGACAAGGGGATGCCTCAGCTCTCGGCTGCAGGCGGCTGCTCGCGCGAGCAGTGAGCCGCTGAAGCCAGCGCCCGGTGCGTCAACACCACGGGCCTCACGTGATCTCACGCCCGAAGGTGCCACCATTTCTCTAAAGATCCCCACCGTTGCGCTTGTTCCAGTGGCCAGCCTGACATCTTTTATTAATGAGATTTTCCTGCAGATTCAGCTGCAGAAAAGGGATGTCAGATGACAGATAATTTGAAGGCCAGTGGGAAAGTAAGAGAAGACAACTGACACGCAGCAATCCTAAGGATGTTTTGGCAGCTGCGGGGAAGATACTGGTATTAAGGCGAAGCAAGAATTGCTTGACGCTTACCCCGCAAACTTGGATGAATGTTGCTCGGGAGAGAAAAAAAAGCAAGCGGACGCGGGGTGTTGCAGTGGGCATGGCAGCCACCGAGTACCACGACAGGTGAGATGAGAAACCTTGCGATGCCCAAACAATGCGCCAGTCAAAACCAACGGATCCCGAACCCCTCCGTTCCCCAAATACACCTTCAGTTAGTGTAGCTTTATTCGGGGCTCATGTGGGACGGAGGGTTTGGGAGCCGATGATTTTCGGGCCCAAAGGGTGACAGGAGCCCAGGCCAAAAGCTGCAAAGAGCACGTTTGGGGAGGAACATCCCTGTGTTGGCTCTGTTCTTTCATCTGGGCATTCCTCCCCCCCCTCATCGGCACCCCAGTTCTGGGCAAGATTGTGTATGTCTGCTGTTGCGTCGATGATGACCCGTGGTTGCATCCCATGGGTAAACAACCTGAATGGAAGCCGGGGCCGACTTCTTTGGCGTGAAGAGGTCTTTGAGTTGGGACTCAAACCGGTCTTAAAACTTTTGTTAGGCGGGGAGTGTTCTTAGAACCAGAAGCTTCAGTTTAGTTCGGCAGGTCAAAGGGCAGCTTTCTTTGGGAGATCTTTCTGGGCCCCCTAGTTTGGAGATAGGGGTTGAACACTTCAGCAAGCCGCCAGGAAGGTGCATCCCCATTTCAGGAAGTGCGCCAAGGAGTTCTTATTGAAAGGGTACCAATGGGTAATGCAAGATGGGAAAAGGGACCCGCCCTGGGTTCAAACTCTCATTTGTTTTTCCAATTCCCAGGATTGCGAGAAGCACTGGACCGGACCATCGCCTTTGCCGCGCCTTTTTTTGCATGTGGAACCCCTTGGGCATGTCCGAGCCAGTTGTCAGCTCCTTTGGCAAAAAGCGACAGCTTGAAAACAGGAGTCCTTCTGTTGAATGGATTGAAGATCGCAGAACCACAGCCACCATGTCCAACTTGAGTGCAATGTTGGGGAGTCATTTCTCGGGGCCAACTGTAAGTACCTCTTTGGAAGAAGAACGGTTTCAAGATGACCCGTCGAGGTGGGATAAGTGGTTGTTTGTTTCCATGAACAGTTCCCCTGGCCAGTCAACTCGGAAGGTAAGCTAAGCAACCTAAAGCTCCGCTCTTTTGCAGGTAAGATGTGCGAATTGCTCTAAAGGCATGTGATCCTGAACAACCCACACGTTTTTGAAGGGTCAGACGTTTGTAATTCGGATCAATCCACTCAGGAAGTCAGCAAAGGGCCCAGAGCCGCTGCTTCCTCTTCCGAGCAAAATCGACTCCCCTGGCTTTAAGATTGGGGTTGCACCAATCAATATGTAGGTACGGGTCAAATTTGAACTTGGGGACCGCTTAGGGCTTAGTCCTTCCCCTCCAAGGGCAGCCCACTTTGGGCAGGCTTTCCGCCACCCATGACGCGTCCAAGCCCCCGGCAGTTTTGGCTGCGGGCGGACTGGGCAGAGCTTTTTCTGCGGAACGCTCCATGGCCGAGGCCCTTTTGGGGGGGCGGGGGCTGTCTTGAAATGGTGAATCCCCTTCAATCCCTTTTTGCTTGCTTTATTTAGTGGGAAGAAGTCAATGGACTTGAACTTATTTTCATGGATTGATTTGAACTCTTGAACTCCTTAATTTCGGGTCCACTTTTGCCAGAAAAGAAAACACCCATTCTGGGCACGTTCTCTCGAAAAAGGAGCGGCCTTGACAACTTGACCATGATGCTGTCTTCTTGTGGGTCCATTCTAAGTGACAATCCTTATCAAGTCACCCACATTTGGACCAGGCCTTGAGCATATTTCCACTGGCGGTTTTCACATACTCGAAATCTCACATTGATTAGGTCCCCCAAGGCGCTTTTACCTAAGTATTGTTTACCCACGGAGTTTCACCTAAGTTGAGTCAGCCATTATTTTCCTTGGCTGAACTCTCGGGATTGTATTTAGTCCACCTGGCACTGGCTAGGTTGCTTGGGTCACGGCTATAGTCATCCCAGTATGCGTGGGCCTCAGCTTCGGCCTTCGGTCGTAAGAGTTTGCTGTGTGACCACCTTTGGTGGGACACCTTAAAGGCCCTTTGCTTTCCCCAAAAAGGGGGTCCAAAGACGAACCCTGATTGGCAGGCGTTTTTCCGTTTGCCGTGCTTATCACCAAAATGCTGCCTTCTCACAAGACCATGCAGCTACATGACATCCCAGGCAGGCCCAGGGCCCCTCAGGTACATTTCCTTTTCCGCACCTCAGGATTCTGGCGCACGACATACTGGGAGACAGCTATGGTGAGATTTGCTTCCATTTGTTCAGCCAACCGTTCCCGAAACGCATCACAAAATGACACCGGAAAGAACAGATCCCAACTGGCACCTGGAGTTTGTTTCAACTCTCATTCGTTTCTAGTAAGAATGTTGTTTCTCTCTATTTGTGCGGACCCCGCGTTTTTTTGGATTCTGAGTGTGGGAAGGAAGATTCACACAATTTCTACAAGATCCCTTTTTAGAATTTTCAACAAACAGACAGAAAGAGAAACCCAATCAGTTACGCCAGTGGCTTCAGATGCTCGGCGGCCTTTGGCGAAATAGCTTGCCAGGGTTTGCGGTTGTCCTTTTTTAAGCGTCAAGGCCGGGGACTGTGATGTGTTTTTTCTTTTTTACAAAGACATTTCAGGGGAGCCACCCATTTTGGCTATCGCAGTTCCACGGATCCTCGGTCCCTTGAAAACGACCTCAAGCAGTGAGCAGGATATCCTCAAAGCAAGCACACCCGCGTGTCTTTCATTTTTCCATACGAAAGAGAGTTTGTTTTTAGTCCAGATCATGCAACACCAGAGCGTTGCCGGGGATCGATGATATGTGGTTTTCATCCAGACCCCCGAATAAACCACCACAAGGGCAAACAAGGGCGCTTTCTTGCTTTTGCCGGAACCCATGGGGTTTGCCAGTATATTCCGCCCGTGGATGCGTCCGGCCACTCCCGCTCGAGTTCAGGTCGGGCAAGTTGAAGGGCATCTACGACGCTTTGGATCACGGCAACTACAAGAATGCCCGCCCGCCCAGCAAGGCAAATTGGTCAGGACCGGCCGGGCTTTTGTTTAATCCCCCGATGAACATTTAATGATGCTGATTCCCTGAATTCTCAAAACCAGTCTTTTGAAAGACTATGCTTGACGGGATACCCCTTTTTTTGGAGATTGTTTTGGGCAACCGACTGCATAGTGAAGACGACTTACTTGTATGGGTTCATTTGCTACCTTGCGATTGCATGGTTCACTGCTTATTCACAAAAAGAGGGATCCGCTATCGTCAGATTAGATGAGAGGGATTCCCAGAAGGTTGCTCCCAATTGTTGACTTGAGTCCACCCCTCTTTTGTCGCATTTGGGGATGTAAAGAGGACCTTTTTCCAGCGGATCGATTTACAGCCCGAGCGCTGTACCAGAAATCGGGCTGGTCGAGGGTTCGGGCTGAATTTCTTTTTCGTCCATTTTGTCTTTGCGGGCTGGTGTTTACTCTCTGCAGCCAGGGGGCTGGATAATTTCGCTGCTTTGTAGGCCGAGCTTTCGGAGCGTTTGGGCACCCCCCCCTTCCCCCCCCCGCTAAGAAGCTGAAATCTTCTGGATTTCTTAGCGGGTACTTCCCTTGCACCGTCAGGATGGGCAAAAATGCTATTTGGGAGCTTCTGGAGCCTTTTGGGAACCCTCCCCGCTGAGAAGTTGCCTGCACCCCCCCCACCCCCCACAATTTGGAGCATGTTTGTTGCTTTTGAAGCTGGAGGTTGCTTGAGGAACTGTGCTGTTATTGCCGGAAAAAGCATTGGTGGCCGTTTGTCTAAGTTAGAAAGGGCTTTCTTCATCGCACAAGGTTGCTAAGAAATTGGACGAACGAATCCAAGGGGCTCAATTTCTTAGCGATTTGGCAATCTCAGCTCCTCAACTTCTTATAAGATGTTTTCTTATACCGTGCTTGTGCTGTAGGTCAAGGGCAAACAAAGCTTAAAGCCCAAAACAGGTCAATAATTGATGCGCTTGCCCCATGTTTAGATGTTTCCATTGGACTTAAATAAAACCCAGGAATTCCCCTTGCGCTGATATCAGCTACCCCGGGGTTTGCGTCTACCTTGGGGAAGTACAACATGGAACCCTGAGATTTTTCATTCTCCTGCGCCTGTTTGCTTTTCCAGATGTCGTGCACGAGCGGGCTGCACTGGCCGCTGGATATATGCTGAGATTCTTGTTGTACAGCCCCTCAAGTGACTCAGTGGCGCAGGGCCTTCAGACATGGATCGGTATTGGGGCCATGTTCGGCCCATGGTTGGTACGAGAGGTTGCAAAATGGCCCCCTTCTTGGAGCTGTCCCGCAGGGATCTGGTCGCAAGCCACATGTCACACATGTTACCCGCCAAGAATCATGGAAGCTGGCAGGATAGCTTTTGAAGTACTTTTTTTTCTTCTCCAGGAAGCCCCCTGTGTCCGCTTCCATGATTGTTGGAGGAAGCTTGTGGTTGCCAGGTTTCTTCATTCGAGTCAGGGCCCAAAAGGTTTGAACTGTGTCTTGCCGATCAACGGCAGTTTGAGTCCCTCTTTAATGACTCCGCCTTCCGGAGCTTGGAGACCGCCGACTGAGGCCTGCAAGCTTTGTGTTGCATTCCTCCAAAAGCAGCCCTCTCACTCGCTCGGGTCTCGGGTCTCGGGTCTCGGGTGGCGGGTGGCGGGTTGCGGGTTGCGGGTTTCGGGTTCGGGCTGGCAGGGTCTCGCGGCGGCAGGGTTCAGGTAGAAGGTTCGCAAGCGGAAATCCCAAGCACGCGTGTTGCCAGCGTTCTGCCTTTCTGATGCTTTTCATTGGTTTGGGTGGAGTCCTTTGCATGCCACGTAGGGCTTTGATTAGGACTCGGGTCTTCTTCTTTTTAGGGGGATGCAACAAGACTAGAAAGCCCAAGGATCCCATTCTTAGGTGGGGCATAGTGATCGTTTTGCTTGTGTCTTAGTCCGTTTTTCAGTCTTTTGCGGCACGCCCTGAACCCAAATTGGAGAAACCCCATATTTGAGGCAACCACAAAATGGGCGCTGGATGGATTCGCTTGTTTTTGCATCAGCTTTGTTCCAGCTCGTGTGCCGCGGTGCTCTTGCTGTGAATCAAAGCATCAGTTTCTCAAGGATCTCGGATTCGGCCAGTCTGATCTCTCTGAACAAGGCATAGGTGTCCTGTTTAGGTGATCTTAGATAGATGGGTTGCACTGATTTAGATGGGTTCTACTACAGGGTCATCTATTTTGCCGAAAGGCCAGCAGATGAACCTGCTTTTAGACCCACAACTACTGAAATCTCATCATTCGCAGCTTTCATGGTTGTTTGGGAAACCGGGCCCCAGACAATTTGGGGGCTTTGGGCCCCAGGTGTGCAGATCTGCATTTCGGGTATGCGTCCGTGTGGCTTCCGGCTGAATGCTTGTTGGTACCCTTTCTGAAACATTGGTGAACCAGCGAAGAGATCACCAAACAAGTGCACACGAGAAGCCCTACGCAAGTTGTACACATATCATATACATATATATATATATGTATATATATATATATGCACAAGTGCATATACATATGGGCAGCCATATGTACACACGGGCAAACGCAACATATGTATATTGAACATATGCATATATATATATATACATATTATATTCTTTGTTTATACATGCGTGTGAACACATGAGCGCACCCCCGATGGACCTACGTTTGGTCAGTTTCACAGCAGACACTCCAGACTCTACATGCTTATCTAGAGATCAAGTTTGGAGACCACACATACATTGATTTCTCTTGGAACTTAAAATCCGAAACAGTCTGAACACGTTGATTTCCATATTCGATTGCATGTAACTTCTAATTCAACTATGGATGTCTAAACTATGCTTGAGAAATCATTCATGTCTATCTGAATTACCATTAAACATGAGTTCCAACTCAACTATTCTAGTGTTCCATATCCTTTGACAGTTCCATTCAATCTCTGATAAAAATTTGCTTAAGATCACTTTTAAGACTTAACTTGTTGCTTGAACTAGACATCGAACTCAAGTATCATATTGTTCCATTTGCCTTTTTTTTAAAAAATTGCAAAGAACTACATATATATATATATATAAGGATGCTTGTGCATATGTATACATATGTTGTGAAGCCCGCTGTAGCGCCATAAATTTAGACACCAATGACCGCCTTTCCGGCGGGATCAGCGACCAAGGCTGGCGCGGGCACTGCACGCGGTAGCGCTGGAGCGGTGTGGGCGCCGGGATGAGGCGCGGGCGCACGGAGGAAATGACAACTGGCGAAGTGGAACCTTGGGGTTGGAGGATGACTATAGAATCATTCATTCATTCATTCATTCATTCATTCATTCATTCATTCATTCATTCATTCATTCATTCATTCATTCATGCGCACTGCAAACGTCTGAGGTCCGCACGTGAGGCTAGCAATGACTATAGACTTATTTGGTCAAAGGGGGCAACATTGCCAAGTGATTGTGGATGAGTCGGGAGCATGACACATGGGGGCGGTTCTGAATTGTAAGTCTTGAAGTATGTACAGGGTGGTCCTTAAGCGCTGAAAAACCCTGCATCCCGAAAGGCCGGCAAAAGGAACGCGCAGGGACTGCAAAGAATACGAATACGGACAACAGATACATTTGTTTTGTGGTGTTCTTGCTGCTGGTGGCAAGACCAACAGCACCTTTTTGAACAACCCCCACATGCGAATGCACATTGCAAAGGCTTCCTTGCTGTGGCATTTTCTCTAGCTTCACCACACACACACATATACAGCAGAAAAAGAGTCCAGTTGGAATTTATGCGTTGAATGCATTTGAGGGCACATGTAAATTTCATGAACCCCAACCAGGCAAGCCTGATGTTTTATGCTCGTGGTTCTTTCAAGGCGTTCCCTAAAGTCGGCGGCCCCGTTTTGGCAGCTCGCCAAACAGCACACCATGTGTGCGTTCATTTGTGCGTTGCGGATGCAGGCCATCCAGCTATGTCAAGAGACGGTGACCGCAGGCAGGGAGAAGACGAGAGAGATGCTGGAGCCCCTTTTTGGGTGTCCCACAAAGGACACCCAAGGAGGTTAATCCACAATTGAAAGTGTTCTGAGGTTCCATGTGAATCTGCAGGGGAGAAAGCAGACTGAGCTGCCAGTGTCGTACGCTTGTTTTCTACTAAGTGGTTGCAACCTGCATGGTAGCAATTGCTTGGAAAGGTAAGCGTTGATCGTGGGATATCGTGGGCGTGTAGCTGTGATCTGTTTATGCATAGTACCACAATTACAGTGCGGACATTGGATGGTGTAATTTGGGTGCTGCCTTAGGTATGGTGAAGGCGGATCGCCATGACATATTGCCCTTTGGTGCGATCGATTGTTGGCCTAAGCTGTTGAATTGCGGACCCGAGTTCTTGACTTCCTCCATAAACGATCAGGGGCTCCCGGGGGTTTATGGGTCTCACTATGCCCCCAGGGTGTTGTAAAGGGCTAGAAAGGGCTTATTCATTGGGGTTCAACACAAAGTGGCACACCATTCTATTTGCATCTAAGTGCTGTAAGGGAGCGCAGCTGGCTCGTGCCCGGCACTGTAGTACCAAGTGTTGTCAAGCTGGGGCTTTGCCCCTTGCCGAATGGTATATCTATATATATATATATACATATATATATATATATATATATATCCATCTGCGAACACACCCACACCCACACCCACACCCACACCCACACCCACACCCACACCCACACCCACACCCACACTATTTTGTGAGTGGATTGCAGAGAGATCTGTTGTGACTCTCCTTGTCGAGATAAGGCTCGCCCCTTTGCCTTATGGTGGAATCACCACGTGCTCAACTGCAAAAGGTCTGGCATTGTTGACCCTGCTGTCACGTAATTTTTGGACCCTCCCTAGGTGTGCCGTTTTTGGAGGGCACCCTGTTGTGAACAACAAGACTGAAACCGCCATTTAGGTTGCCCAGTTCCCCCATGGGAGAGATGGCTACCTTCTGCGGTCCCCGGAGGCATGGCCTGCGATGCCAACTCACCAGCTGTGCTGGATGAGATCGGCCTCAGCACCCTGCAGGCCATGTGGGATTTCTGCCGGTGCCACCGGAGACCAAAAAGAGCTTCCTTATTTGGTTGGAGATGCTGTGTGGACATGATTTATGTGGAATTGATGTCCACCAGCCAATTGGAAGGGTATTCCCCGCTCAAGTTCAGCACCAAATAAGGTCTGCTAGAACCTCCCACGAATACTAGGCTTTCAATTTTGTCGCTGAGGTTTGGTGTGTTGGACGTATCTTCCATGGCACTGGGGGGGAAAGCGAAACGGAAAGCCTCATTTACGGGTCTTGGCGGGTTCCCTGCAAAAACCCATCCCTGCACATTGGAGCGTGAACCTCCAACCTGGGTCCCGCAACTAGGCTTGGGGTTGCATTTTAATTTGGAGGGAACATACAATGGGAAGGCAGACGGGTGGGAACGTCAGGATTTCTCGCAGTTCGCGAGGTGGTTTTCCGGCGCTGCAGACACCTGGATGCCATCCTGCAGATGTATGAGGCGGGGTCCAGTCCGGCGTAATTCCCGGTTGCCTTTGAGCAGGAATGGGTTGTCTCCAATGCATTTCAGAAAATACTTCTTAGGAGGACGCTACTTCTTGCCCTCTGGATGGGTTTCTGTCATGTTTGTCACCCGTCTGCTTCGTTTTGGGTTTAACGGACCTCTACACAAATCAATCACTTCTCCGATCTGGTTGCTCAAAGACACTCAAATAATTCCCCCACCCCACCCATATTGCCCTTTTGTTTGCCCAAGAAATCGTGGAACAACTATTTGACATTTCGCCATTTGCGGGGATCAAGTTCTTTCGTTGGGAGGGGTTAGCTGCAGGAAGCCTGGAACAAGCAGAAGGAGGTGGAGGAGCCGCGGCCTCAGCCGGTTGGCGGGCGTGGGCTCGACGGCTTGACATCAGTGGGGAGGTGGGGATTTGGCTGTGGGTCAACAATAGGGCAACCCCAAAATGGCTTGCCCCGGTAGAAGGACACATGGACTAAAACCTGCGGTCCCCTGGTTTAATTTTGACCCACAGCCGTTTATGTCCACCAACTTTTGGAGCATTCTTAAGTTCCAACCCAGGTAAGGGACAGCCCCAACCACAAATAGGTGCAGCCAGTCTTGCTCTTTGCATTTCGATCGACTTCTTTAGCAGGATCTGAGAATGAGGCCACTGGCACGTGTCTTGCTCCAGGCTTGCATTGTCTGGTTACTCCGAAAAGGACTTCAACCCAGGGGCGTTCATGCGCTTTCAGACGGGAGAGGAATGGACGCCTATCTCCCTGTGGCTGCAGTTGTCCGTTTGGCTGATTCACAAGATTCCGGTTGTCTCTCCTTGTCTCGTGTTTTGCTGCCGCTGTGAGAGTTTGCCGTATTGGATGAGACGGTCATCAGTAAACTCCAGTTTCAGGCACACTTGGTGAATCTAGTGCAAGTCAGGGTTGACCTATCAAGACAAGCTGATAACACACAAGGGCCTTCCTTTGTGTGCGGACCCCCGCTCAAGTTTGGTAAACCATTGTCTTTTGCTTCCCGAAACGAATTCTAGAGGGGCCTCTACCACAGCGACCTTCTCATGCTAGCAAACCTGTAACCAGCCGGGGGAATGCGTCTAGGTATGGTGTGCTGGTCTTCATGGCAGCTGTGCATACCAACGGCTTTGCGAAGGCCCAGCAGGCCTTCGGGGGACGTGCTGGGTGTGGCCCAGGTCTCTGAAGCCGGGCTTTTGTAGATTGGTTGTTGTTTGTTGGGTTTCTTTCCACACAACTTGTGTTTTTGTCTTGGTTGATTTTGTTGTCTTTTGAGTTGTTCAGTTCATTTTGTGAGGGGGAGTGCATCATGACACACTTGTTGTTGCGGCTAGCTGATTTGATTCTTGTAGATTTCATTGTTTTTGAGGAGCAGCCAAGAACAAAAGTTGTAGTTTTCGTTTGTTGGTTTGTGAGGAACATTCAGTTGCTTGCAATCATGCCAGGGGTTGGCAAGATTCATTGCGGACAAGTCTGGCGTGACCTGGTGGATTCACCTGGTACCGTCTATACCTCACATCCTGACTTTTCCGGTCTGCAGAATTTCAAAGGACCAACCACACCCCCTGGAAGCTCAGGCAATGGGGCAGGGCGCCCCATGGACCCTTCCCCATGTTGCCTTTGTGGCGACATTTGAACATGAGCGGGGGGCCTTTGGGGTGGGGATAAAGTACTTGTTCGGCGCCTGGAATCAACCAGTATCAACCAGTCAATCTTCTGGCTCGGGACATTAGTTGACTCACTAAGCATCAACCACAGACGGACTCACTGTTCCCGTGTCCGTGGCCATGGTGTGTGTGTGTGTGTGTGTGTGTGTGTGTGTGTGTGTGTGTGTGTGTGTGTGTGTGTGTGTGTGTGTGTGTGTGTGTGTGTGTGTGTGTGTGTGTGTGTGTGTGTGCGTGCGTGCGTGCGTGCGTGCGTGCGTGTGTGTGTGTGTGTGTGTGTGTGTGTGTGTGTGTGTGTGTGTGTGTGTGTGTGTGTGTGTGTGTGTGTGTGTGTGTGTGTTTGTGTTTGTGTTGACCGTGGCTTACATGGTTGTGTACATGAACCAACCTTGGACCATTGGATATGACCCCGATAAAACGCAGATGGGTGCAGGGAAGCCTGGCCCCTCAGGTCGCAGCAAGTCACTGGACCCACGCATAGTGGATGTGCATGGGCATGCACGTGCATGTGCTATGTATGCGCGTGTCGGGCGTGTCGCAGGTTGCCATGACGCTGTACAACAAGTTCAAGAAGTCACACTACCTCCTTTGGGCAGTTGCCCTATCGCAGAAGGAGCGCTTGATTTTGGTTTCTCTCCAGGAGTTGGGACCATGGCGCACAACAATGAAAGAGGGCTTAGCTTTTGGGATATGTCGGGCGTTGTGTTGTGCAGCTAGGTGGCGTGCGCCGCTGAGAACCCACATGATCATCATGAGTAGGAACCAGTTCCATGTCCTTTCGAGGTGACGGAAGACCCCGGCAAAGATGAAGCAGTGGGACGTGTCCGTCGGGTCTCCGAAATGCTTGCTGAGGTCACCGCTGCCATTCTGCTGCAGGTTCGGGTGGTCCCGGCTGCTTATGGCAAGCAACTTGCAACGTGGGTGGTGTGCACAGGGCTTCCCCAACAAGGAAGCCAACTACTTTTGGGGGCATGTGAGTTCTGGTGAGCATTTGCTGTAATGGCATATGGTTCCCGTTTGGATGGTACCGGTCAAAGAATGTCCTGCTATGTTGGAATATCAACATTTTGGGGTTTTCATCTTCCAATTCTAGCTGACATCCACACCAATCGGCTCAACGGCTAAACCTTGGATAGCTTGCCAAGCCCTATACTTTTTGTGTGAGTCCTCGAATCAAAAAGCAAAAAAAAAAAAAACAATTCACTTCGTAGACCCCCACACCGCATCAAATCCTAAACCCCCCTTCCGCGCCAGGCGGGGGCGCCCTCCAAGGCGCTGGGCCTGGCCGCTGTGATGCTGACCAAGGCGGACAGCGGAAAATGGTACGCCCACTTCACCAAAGCAAAGCACCACAGGGAAGCTGAAAATGGATCGCCAAACAAAAGCAAAGGGAAGCACCAAACTGCAAACAACTGTAAAAAACAAAGTGAGGATCTCTGGTGAAACTTTGCACACGCAAGCTCGCAGAGGATTTAGGGAAGCGTTCGTAGCAAGTTCGGAAGCTGCCTGCATGTCACATCAAACTTTGTCATGTTAGTTCCATCGTTTAGAGAGAGAGAGAGAGAGAGCTGCTTACGCTGATGGAACATCGAAGTCGCGTTTGCAGACATGACGTAGAACTCCATCGCATCCAGCTTGTTGTTTGATTTCACAATATCGTTGCAAGAAGACTGGAAGAAGAGCGGTGAAGCAGTGTGGCACTTCTTGCCAGACTCCTTTCCAAAACAGACTGTGCATTTCGCGGTGTCGCCACAAGGGCCCCCTTGAGTTGGCAGGCTGAGAATAGAATCCGCCAGGCGTGTGAACAATCAGGAACAACATGGGAGGTGCCGCAGAAGTTGGCTCCACTTGATTCACACAAGGCTCCCTTTGCCTCTTCGAACCGTGCAGCTGATTAATCTGGGGACAACATGAATCCATCGGGCTGCACTCCTTACGATTTCCGCCCGGATTCGGCCCGGCTATGCTAGGGTTGGCTCCTCTTGGGTCGCAAAGTGAAGAATTCCAACGGGACATCCCCAATCAACGTGCCCCGAAGTTTCATCCCATGCCATCGTCAAGCACGCCAGGCACCTGTGAACTTGGAGGCCTTGCAGGGCAAGGCCTTCAACAGAGGCAGGGAAGCGCCGCCCGCGTCGACCAACGGCGTCAGCAGCAGGGGGTTGATTGAACAAGTTGTGTTGTTTTCCAGAACCAATTGCCAGAGACACCCAGGGAGCACTTGGGGATGTTCACTTGATGTTTTTCACAGCCCCTTCTTGAATGGCTGGCCAAGCTCTATTAGCGATTGGAGGATGATATAGCCTCTCAGTTATTGCCAGTGTTGCTGCCACAAGACTGGGAAACAACCAAAGCCGTTTAGGGGACATAGGGATACCTCACCTTCTCAGTTGTCGGCAACCTCAGGCGCTAGTTTGGAAGAGCCCGGGTCACATAAAGTTGTCACATGCCAACAAGTCTGTGGATGAAGCGAATTGGACAAGCCAACCCATACTTCCAATGGATTGGCCAACCAGTAACATTTTTTATTGCACAAGCTGGGTGGGTCTGACAAACCAGCCATGTAGTTGTCCTCCAAATGGTAGGCTTGTCGGTTTCCTCTTCGAATGGACAAACGACAGCCACATGGCACGGCATTGTCCTTTCTCCATACGTGAGTCAAAACATACAAGCGGTTTACACCAAAACGAACCAAAGATCAGAACCCCATGCCCTCTTGATGTTTGCCACAATAGCTATGTGGAATTTGCACCAAGCCATTAAGAAAGGCACGGGGGATAGAGTCCATGGCAGGAAATCGCGGGCCCTTGGCTCTGCTCCCGGTATGAATGGAGTCCACCAACTAGCCCCTGAAACGAGTCCCCAGGGAGAATGGATGCCTCCTTGAAGTTAACACAGATGCTTTAAACGGACACATACTGGCTACTAGAACCACTGACTGAATTGATAGGCCAGCTCTACTTGTTCTTCCTGCACTTGGGCGCCTTGCAGCTTCAGGAGAAGCAGGCGCTTGCACTGGTGCCGTGGGTATGCCGTGGGTTTTCATCTCAGGGATGTCTTTTGGGGGTCGATGATCGATTGGGCTCCGTGCGAAGTTGGCTGGGTGCACATGTGTTGCGCAGTCCCCCGTGTTGCGCAGTCCCCCCGTCACATATTCCGACTGAAAAGTTGCGGGTGCCCACCCGGAAAGCGACTCCCGAACGGCATGCGTGTGTGTGCATGTCGAAATAAGGCAACCCCCCAAATGGTGGCTTTTTTGGTTTCCCTTGAAAGCCATCCCAACGAAGGTCTCCCTCATAAAAACCCAGGGGCTGTGGTGATGGCGTGCGACCAACTCACGGGAAGGCTGCAAGCTCCGGAAGAGGATTCGCTTAGTAACACCAAAGTCTAATTTCGACTTGGGAGCCTAGGCGTTTGGAAAACACGTGCACAACAGGGCGCCTTTCTTAGGGTGAAGCGGTTTGGTTTTGGTTGATTTTCCCGAAGGCCGGAACGGAATGGATTTGATCTGGCCACAAGGGGCTTGGGCCCCTGAAAGGGCTTCATAGAAAGCAACAAAAACACGGGGCAGCTTGAGATTTTCCATGGCCGCCAGGCAGGCCAAGTTCACCCGAAGAAAGCTTTGTGCGGGCACGCGCCTGAGGAGCCCCCTCCTCCCCGGAAAGCGCCACTGATCTTCCTGCCTGCGCGATTTGTTGGCCCCAGTAGCTTCATAAGGTTGTGAATGGCCCAAAAAGGGGAAAGTTGAGAGAACCATCTTCTATGTTGTTGTGGCCGCGTTTATCACAAAACGCACTCTCTAGAAGGACTGAGGGCACCCAATGCCTTGATGGCTGGTTCAGCCCGCCAAGAGGGAAGCCCAGTGGTTGTAGAGGCCGACAAGTGGCTGGCTGCAGATGGGTCATCCGAGACTTGGGCGACAAACTGAGGTTTTTTAGTTCTGGTCTGACCGGGCACATTGACTTGGATCACCATGACACTTTCAGATTGCATGGTTGCAGTTCATCTTTTGGAACAAACACCAAACAAACAAAATCGTATGAAAGGCCCGAGTTTTTTTTTGCCAGGCTGGGCGGCCTGGTCCTAAGCCAGCACTGGAGCATCCCTAAACCAGCCATACCCCGCCCCCAAAGCAGCACTAAAGAACCTCTTAACCCACCCTAACCAAGCCCGCATCAAGCCAGCTGAACTGTCCCTCAACCACCCTAAGCCAACCCTAAGCCCAGCTTAAGCCTGAAATAAGCCCACGCTAACCCCGCTGCAAAGAATCCCCACAAAAAACCTTACGCGCGCAAGCCAACCAAAACCCGTTCCCCCCCCCCCCCCCGGAAACCAACCTTGCGCCAATCCTAAACCCACCGTAAACCAACCCCAAACCCAAAATCACCTCTAAACAACGCCTAAGCAAACCCAAGCCAGCCCTAAACCAGTTGTAAACCAGCTTTAAACCAGCTTTAAACCAGCTTTAAACCAGCTTGAAACCAGCACTGCAGCATCCCTAGACCAACCGAAGCCTATCCTAAACCCACTCTAAACCGTGCAATTGTGCCACCGCTATGTCTCCAACATCTGAAGCCGAATGGTGAGGCAGTAGGGCACGCCAACCCGGCTGCAGGAACATGTCTCCTCCTCCCGGTCAGAGTATGAGACGCCGAAGGAACGAACATAACGAACCATTGTTGATAGGTTGGACCTATCACGCGTGCATCCTATAGTCTGCAAGTCAGGCTGGACAATATTGCGAACTAGAACCCCCGTGACTGGCCCGTAGAGCGTGACTCAGCGGGGTGATCCTGCATCGGTGATGGGGAGAAATCCGCTAAACGCGAATACCCTCAATTGTTTTCTTGACGGAGTCGAAGCCCAGCGAAGCGAATCTGTCTCTGGGAGTTGTCAGTTAATGGGCGCATCCCATTCCTTCTTCCGTTTAGGAGTGACCCTGATGGAGTCGAAATTCCGATGCAGGGCTTATGGTGAAGAAGCTGACCAAACTTCGTTCCAGGCCTCGTGCGCGCAACATTGCCCAGCTAATTACCCGTCAACCGCTTGAACAATGAGGGCGGCGTGGCTGGAGTCCCACGCGCATCCGCTTTCTGGACCAGAACGACATTGTCAAGAAAAGGTGCGCCCAGGCTCGTGCGGGATCCTTGTCTGTCGACGCGGACGAGGAAAGCAGAGATGCTCGTCCAAGGTCAACGCCAGCTCAGTGCGCAACCGTGTCGGGCCATCCTTCAGCCTGAGCTTATTGAATCTGCGCATCTTGTGGCAGTCGGGCGAGGGTCTCTACATGATCTGATTCCAGCAAAGCATCACCTTTCCGCCCTTCCACTCCTTTCGTTTTGTCGTAAGCCCGTCTGCTACTGGCCGTCGGCCAGTCGCCATGAACAAACCTGTTCCAGATCTTTAAGCTTATGGAACTCCCTGGCCATTGAATTGAATGACGTGTTGAGGGAGTTTGTTTTGACCCATCCTTGCACGTCGGAAGAGCGTGCGGCGGAGGCCGAAGCAACGGTTTGGGGAACGAGGGCCGAAGCGGGCCCGTGTGTCGGACAAGCTACCAGATCGGGTGTCCGCCTTGCTCGAAGAGCCTGCGCGCAAAGCAGTTCGTGCGTGTTTGCGAAGGTCAGGTCTTGCTTCGCTGCGGGGAAGACTTTTTCCCGCGCAAGAACGACAGGTTTGAATGAGACTTGGAGAGTGTCAGACTTGAACTAGGCCTGGCGACTTTTGCCTCGAGGGTGTCGATTCGCCAAGTTTCACCACCCTCAACGTCAAAACATGCAGATTCTGCAGAAAGCGGCGCTTTCCAGGAAGGCGCTGCTAGGCTGCTTGGCTAGCTAATGATTGCCTGCGCGCATGCTAAGTGTGTATGCTGGGCAACTTTATGATCGTAGCGCTTCATGATGCCCATCTGCTCACAGCCTGTCCAGGCGTGCCAAAGACGAACAGCCCTGCAAATTTCATCACCGGCAGGCGCAAATCAAACTCATGGGATGGAAGCCAGCCATGCCAAGTGTGTGGAAGGCCATGGGGCACCTTGATCGTGCCTGGAACCCAAGGAGAAAAATCAGGAGGAGGTGCCGAGACAGCGCTGGTGAAAAAAGGGCGCAGTTTGTTTGCAAATGCTGCAAGGCACCATTGCTTGCCGAACCTAAGGAAAATTGCCCAGGAAAATTTAATCGCGCCTCAGGTTGGCATGGGTTGTGAGAATGATCCAGACATTATGGGCCGATTACAATATAGGAAAGGTGGTGCCATGGGCCGGACACCTGGCTGGCGATCCTTTCAGGGATTTGTGGGAACCCCCAGCTTTGACATTGTGGGCCGCAGGCTCTTGAGCCCGGCTCGCGTGGATTGAAACGCAAGTGGCGCAGATCCGGGCTACGAAAGCCAACCTTTACGCTTCCAAACACTGGGTTTCTACTTCGAGGCTTTGTAGGCAAATGAGTTTCGCGTTTTGTTCTAGGGACCGCTGGGCTCCTTGCCTCAGGCCGAGGCCCTCGAGTTGCTGGAGGCACGCTTTCCACAGGTGAAAAGGGGGGAAGACGGCCTGACACGCCGGGCGGTGACAGGAGAGCGTGCATATTGATGTGTATGCAAGCAATTACTGCATATGTGGGAGCGCATATATATATATATATATATATATATGTATCTACATATGTATGTATTTTCTGGAGCACCCAGGTGCTGGATCATAAATGCACGCACTTTTCCTCATCAAAAACATGTTGGGAGAATGCGTTGATCAACATCCTTAGGCGAAGAGGATGCCATGCGTACATCTCAGCTTTAGATCAGGAATATATGCATGCTACCTTCATGTTTACAATGCAAATGTCATTTTGTGGTGGAGCCTTCAAAAACTGGGTTCAATGTTAAGAACACTTTGACAAATTTCCGCCAGCACAAAGGCTTCTAGTCCACCTTGCGGATGCATGAGCACAACGCGAGTGTCACTACAGCGCGTAGGCAAACGGACCGAACTTGTGTGTGTGTGTGTGTTTTTGTTCCCCTTTTTTTTTCTCTGTGGCATTTGCGCTGCTTGGTTCAGAACTTTTGCATTCATCAAATCATTAAGATGAGTGTTTGGCATGTTTGCCATTGCAAGTTTGCAACGGTTAGTTATGTCTCTTAACTTCCTTTCCAAGAATGAGCGCGCAGGAGCTTTTTGGTAAGTTCTTGTTCTAGCCTATAGCTGCACTGTAATTGTTGTCAAGCTATGAGTAGTTTGGGGGTATACGCGCATGGTGTGAGTCTATTGATTTGCCTTTTTTGCAATTTCTGCCCTCGTTTTCACAGCAGCGTGTCCCGCCCGCCCTTCCCCCCGTGGTTCAGCGTGCAGGCAGTGACTCATGAGCAGACTATCCAAGATGTGGCTGGTGTTTACTTGTGTCCTCCCACCAACAAACATGGATGTTGCGCCTGGGCCGCGTTTGTGTTTTGTTGAGCATCAGTGCGAGCCCAAATGGGTTTCTCAGCTGAGCTCTTGGCTTCAATGGCAGGCATGGAATTGTTTGGCTTCTCAAATTGTAGAGGGCTTGAAGTACCCGTGATGGCCGGAACGGACAAGAAAGCAAACGCATCCTTGATGAAGAGTTCGTCTACGAGATGGCCTCACGCTGGTGATGCAAAACTGGCCGACCAGTAGAGCCATTTGAAACTCAAAGGCTGCGAGATGAGAACCAGCTGGCCGATTTGCCGAACGGTTGCACTTTGGTCAAATCTGGAGAAAACGAGTGCGTGCTTCTTTGGTTAGTTGGTCATCAGTAGGCAACATCATCCCACGCACACCTGGACAGTTTCCATTTCTCGTTGGCTCAACCTTCAGCCTTTTCATTTGTCAATCTTTAACGCTTTGGAGAATGAACTTTCCCTCACCAAGCAGTACTCCTTACCAGGAACAGGGGTGAAAGACCAACCCGGCATTGCAGCAGGGCCGATTTCATTTGCTTTGGTCTAGTCACTGGTTTTACGCTGGTTTGCGCCTGCCCAGGGTAGGTTTCGGGTTGGGTTGGCCTGGGCTTGGGCGTGGTCCTGATCCCCACTCTTCTGCCAGCAATCGTGGAAGTAGATGGTAGAACGCTGGTACAGTTTCTGCTCAGGACTGTTGGAAAGAAGGTAAATCCTTTGCAAGCTGCTGCGTTTGGAGGTCCAAACCAACAAGAGAGGTGTTATAAGCGAGGAATCGTCTCACGTCACTTGTTTGCGTTCAGCTTTCAGTTCAAGCACACCCATTGCAAAGTGCAGCGAGAACCTAGAGGCGCAGTCAGGGTAACCTCACTTCCCCAACGGCAACCTTTAAACATTTCGGTTGTCCAATCTCAGAGGTTAACCTTCTGATTGCCAGATGCGTTGGGCAGATGGAAAAAACTATATATATATAGATATAATAATATATATAGATATATATTTACAATTACATATGTATATATATATATAGCCCCTGCAACGCATGCCTACAAACACTCCGTTACTTGGGGTTGGCAGTGCTGGTCATGGACGGTCTTTCTCTTCAGGTCCTATGGTCAGTGAGTGACGCAGGCAAGGGCCGAGCCCTTGAACATGTTGAACACCCCCTGTTTCAACACCCTCCTTTTGGTTTGCCGGGCATAAGGGGCTAGGTGACTACACACACGATTCTACCATGATCCTGTGGTAATTGGTCTTATTCTTCAAGCCCTGTGCAAACAATGCGCAGACCTGCACGCCCCTGCTGAAGCTGCCCTCCGACATCTCGGCGCTAAAGGCGCGAGCACCTGGCACTAGTGCCTGTTCGTGTTGTCTTGGGGTTGAGCCCCCGAATGGGTGTTTTCTCTTGCGGATTCCCAGATGGTTGGTTTCTCTTGGGTTCTCTTTTGGTTGTCTATCAGGGTGAGGGCCCAGGTATGGACAACCCTCCTGACTTTTCCGGGACCAGGTTTCCAGCTCATGTTGTGCAAAAGATGCCAGAATCGTGGCCGAAACAGTAAGCCAAGGAGGATCCCCAACCGACCCTCCATCCTGCTCCAAAACCACCCCCCCAACCCTAGATTGGCAGATTGGCCCCACTGCCGCAGCTTTGGCTGTTGGGGAACATGGCCCCCAAAAACCAAGTGCAAGGCCACCCTCGAAAACAAGCACACGGCCACCCAAAGAGTGGCCAACTGCCTGGAACATTCGGCTCTTCGGCTTCGCAGGGCTTGCAAGAATCGATGCCGATGAGCGCGAATGAGCACATCGCGGCTAACACGAGCTCATTCTGCAGCAGGTCCCTTGGGGGATTCTGCTTCTGGATTGAAACTTAGAGCAATTTGCCCAGATGGCGGCTAGCAAAAGGGCAACACTGCTCGGACCGGAAACGCGGGACTGGCAAAACACATCAAAGCACACTGCAGAGGAAAACAGAGCGTTGACAAGAAATACCGCCAGCCATCCCTTCGCCTATTCTATAGCGAGCTCACCTTGGGGTATAACGAGCTCACCATGATACAGGTCCTTTACTTGGGGATCCGATTCTCAATTCAGCTTTTGGAGTTAGTTTTTTTTGGGACTGATCTATTAATTCAGTTTCTTGATTCGGTGTTTTCTTAATTCAGTTTCTTGATTCAGCTTTTTCTTAGTCGAGTTTCTTGATTTAGTTTTGTTTCAATTCAGTTTCTTGATTCGGTTGTTTCTTATTTCAGTTTATTGATTTTTTTTTATTTTTATTTTTTTAATTCAGTTTCCTGATTCAGTTTTGTATTAATTCAGTTTCTTGATTCAGTTTTTTTCTTAATTCAGTTTCTTGATTCGGTTTTTCCTTAATTCAGTTTCTTGATTCAGCTTTTTCTTAATTCAGCTTCTTGATTCAGTTTTGTTTTAATTAAGTTTCTTGATTCTGTTTTTTTCTTAATTCAGTTTATTGATTCAGTTTTTTCTTAATTCAGTTTTAACTTGCAGAAGTCCGTCCCTCCCTTCGCCTTGGGATTGTCTTCGATGTCTGGCATCGCACATCGCCAGGTGCAGCTGCTCTGGGAGGCGGAACGCAGCCGAAGGGGGCGGATCAAGTTCACATGTGACACGTTCCAGCGGCTGTGTTCTGATAGATTCCCCCCAAGGCACACCCCACAATCCAACCCCAGCAATTTGGCAATCTTAGACTCGGAATGATCTGTAGGACCATAGAAAATCCCTTGGTAACTTTTGAGGATACACGCAGGGGCCTGCGTCCGCAAATGGTGATTGGGCCCGAGATATTGAACAAGGGAATCCCAACAAGATGATTTGATTCCTGCTCGAGAGCACTCACCCCTTAGTATTGAGGAGTAGGGTCGTTCATCATTGTCCACGTATCGGATTTCAATGGTTGAGTCCTCAATTTCTTATATTTGAAGCCGGGTTTCTGAATGCAGCCACTTAACTCTATGGCGGGTTCGAGTTGCATCAAGTCATTGGAGACGCGTGTGGGTGAGACACCCCTAGATTTCTATCGATGTGGACGCGAGCAGGGGTTGCACGGTGTCCGCCAACGCAAGGCAGAAGACAAAAGTCTTTCCTGAATACCCTTTTTGCCAAGGAAACTCTACATGTTATACTTAATGTACATACATATATATATATATATATATTCCAGAGGTACTGGGCGGCAAAGAGCCATATGTGCCATGGTCAAAGGACCCTTTGCTTGTCATCCACCTGCTAGTAAGGATCCTTAATGACCGCAATATGTTTTTGCTACTGAGGGAACCATGACCATAGGCCATAGAAGGTTGGACCATGGCTCATATGCGAAGCGGTCCAGTCATGGAGAAAAACCAACAAGGTTAACTGGCCTTCGCCGGGTTTCCTGGACTTAGAAGCTTCAACCCCCCGCCCCTGCTGGTCATAGAGAAACCTATGGGCCACAGACCCGGTTGATGTGAAGGGATGATCACTATTTGCTTCAGGTGTTTGTTTTGTCCAACTTGCTCCATTGGCTTGGAAGAGAAATGGGCATGACGACTAAAGGTGTGATGCTTTTGGTGGCGCCGGAGAACCCTCCTCATGAAGGCAGTTGGCATAGACGTTTCTTCTGCAGAAGGCGTGTTTGCATCAAAGATCTCTGTGCCACCAAGTCAGCTGCTTCCCTATGAGACGTCCAAATCAACCCGGGTAAAAAAATGCCATCTGGTGCAGGATAAATTCACATACACATATTCTGGCTGAATGGGAGGTGAACACATATTTTGTTCTGACTCCCCCTGAAGGAAACCAGAAGTGTTTGCCGCGGCATGTCGGCAAGCCTGGGAAGGCATGGATCGGGAGATGCGCGGAATCTTCAGGTCTTCCGTGGAAAGCATCGGTGTGCAGCTCGGCCCGGCATCGCAGGCTGCTGATCCGGCGAAGTCAGGGCCGGCGCTGGAGGTTGCGACGGCTGGCGCTTGACACGGCCCTGTCTGCGCTCGGCGTGGCGAAGGGCAAACAACACGTGGTGGAACAAGGGCGAGGATTTCCACGCCCTTAGCTGCGCTGTTCAGCAATCACCGCGCCGGACGCTGCGCGCGCTGTGCTAGAATATGTTTTTGTTGGGTGCAATTTAGGGGGGTGTTCCCGACGGAAAAAAAGTGTCAACCCACAAAAAATGCTCCCGTTTTCTCCCAGGTCATCGGGCAACTGACCTTGGTAACCTACGGATCCGGTGAACTCGAACAAAAGCGATGTCTCTCGGTTTCCTGTTCCCTTCCCTCAACACACCCCAGGTGAGCTCCGTTAAGACCCCAGTACATATTGGGTTGGCGCCCAACCCAAGCCTAATGTCAGGCGGCGTGTATCATTCCTTTGCGTGTGAGATATATCTTCCGTATAAGAGGAGGAGAGATGAAAAGATCTCCCGTGTTCGTTGATGCGTTTGGGCGAAGCAACCTTTTAGTCTGCCAGGCAGGCCGACGCAAGGAGGCTGTGCTAGAGGCGCTGCGGGATGGCTGTGTGAGTAGACTTCGCAAACACACACACACACATAAACACATAAACAGGCACCGAACGGAACCAAAACAAACAATCAATCAATCAATCCATCCATCCATCCATCCATCCATCCATCAATCAATCAATCAATCAATCAACCCAACACAAACAAACAAAAAAACAAACAGACAAGCAAAGACACCGACAAACAAGCAAGCAAACACGAAAGCAAACAGGCAAAAACAGGCAAAGCAAGCAAAGCAAGCAAAACAAGCAAAACAAGCAAGGAAGAAAGAAAGAAGCAAGCAAGCAAGCAAACAAACACCCAAGCAAGCGCGCAAGCAAGCAAGCAAGCAAACAATGACACACATGGAGACAAACAGCAAATCAATCGAGCAACAATGAGAAGCAAAGAAGCAAGCAAAGAGATAAACAAACAACCAAGCAAGCTAGCAAACTCACAAACAAACACACAACAGCAGAAGCACACACACACAACACAGCACAACGCCAGCAAGCAACCGAGCAAACACAAACAAGCAATCAAACAAACACACGCGCAAACACACAAACACACAAACAAAAACACAGAGACAAAGCACAACAAGCAAGCTAACCAGCAAGCAAACGCAAACAAAAACAAACACACAAACAAGCAAGCAAGCAAGCAAGCAAGCAAGCAAGCAAGCAAGCAAGCAAGCAAGCAAACAAAAACAAAAAAACAAGCAAACAAGCAAACAAGCAAACAAGCAAAAAAGCAAACAAGCAAACAAGCAAACAAGCAAACAAGCAAACAAGCAAAAAAGCAAACAAGAAACGAGCAACCAAGCAGACAAGCAAACAAGCACACAAGCAAGCAACCAAACAAGCAACCAAGCAACGAAGCAAACAACCAAACATGAGGAGGTTTAATCATGGATAGAAGAATTGTTTTGGCAGAAACACACGTCTTTGGGGTTTGTCTGGGAACGTTGCGTTGACGTGCTTTCGCAGAGCCTCCCCAAACAAAGCGATCGAAATCGGGAAAGTGGTTCGGGGGAAAGGGGCTCAAAAGGCAAACACGGCTCCCTGGAACTCAATTAAAACTCAGGGTTTTTTTCCAACACCCCCTTCAAATCCATAGTTTCATGGAATTCCCTCAAATCAAAGCTTCCCCACATCTCTTTTAGTTCCCATAGGCGTCCAACTCCTTTTGGCCCCGCTCCGGCCGTCTCAGGCGCGGCAGCAGCTGGTGGCCAACCCCGGCAGCTGGGCCCATGCCCAGGAGGGCCCATGCACCCATGCCCAGGGGGCAGACCCTGCAAACTCATAGGTGTCCTTTTTCGGTTGGTTTGCTTAAAAGATGGATTCCCCTGGTGATGGGGTTTCTTCCACCCAGGGAAACCCATCTATTTTTCCAAAAGGCAACCTATGGGAAGATCTGATCAGGTAAACCTTGCGAACAAAATTTGGGGCACCTCCCATACCCCTTCGATCACTTTGTGACTTTAAAGGGAAACCAAAAGGAAAACCCACAGCCATTTTGGGCCCGACCTTAAAGAAGACGCAATATTTACTTTGCCGCATTTTGTCAAGGGATGTTAGGACTTTAACTTTTTGCTAACTAATGGGTTGAAACCACTGAAAGTTAAACTTTTGGCAGGGGAGCAGAAAGCAACCGAGATAAGGGGTGGGGGGTGGGGTGTTGTTCTGCGGGGGGGTCCGATGGAACAACAACCCCCACCCACCCCCCACTCCTTATCGAAGCGGTCTCGCACCTCCCAAGAACGGAGGTTTCTTTGTGAGACCCTTTTGACGGGTTCGTTCCTAAACGGGTTCCGATCGCTGCTGCAAAGGGGGCAATCATGTAGTAGGACCCATTTTGTTGTCAGAACCCAAATTCGGTTTTTTCTTGGTGCACTGGGTCCTTGGATGCCTTTTTGTGCAGGGATCAAAGATTGCAGTTTCACGGTTTCTGGTGGAATGTGCGGGTGGGAAAGATACCCTCCCATCCATGTTGCCATGGACTGACCGAGGGGTGCAAGACCATTGCCCTCAAAAGGGATGGTGAGTTCCATGGCAAAATGGACGGGAGGCTACGTACACCAATAACGAGCTTTGGGGTAAGGCGAGCTCATCCATGATGAGCCTACAGGCTTTGAGGTGTCCCTATTCCCGGTTTGTGACTGATTGCAGTTTTGCCCAGAAGTGTATGTATGTCACATAGGAAAGAAAGGCTTACATGTTTTAGCCATGGCAGACGCACAGCTGCAGCCGTTTTTTGTGATTTCCGCCAAAAACCCACGTTGCAACAGTCCCTCAATATCCGTTGCTCAAAAGTGAAGACCATGGTTGGATCTCGGTTGGGTTTGTCTCAAAATAGAGGGCCCTTCCGGGTGTGTGGTTGGTTTCCCGTTGGTTTCCTGTTGGTTTCCCTTGAAACCACCCCAAGGGACCCCTGAAACAGACGCACCCATGTCCAGGCTTCATGGTTGGCCAGGGTCCCACCCGGACAGGTGCCACGAGGTTCAAACAGGGATTTGATATCTTCTTGGTGCAACCGGACAACATTCATACATATTCATACCAAGTTTGTATATTAGTATGGATAATATGTATGTATACCCAAGCTTCATACTTCATACCCCGAAAAACAAATTCATACTCATGTTGGCTTCGGGGGGGGGGGCCGGGGCTTGTCCACTTGAGCAGCGTTTTTTCTCAGATGATGGATTTTAGCTTCGTGGGGAACTCCCAAAAGCTCCGCGAAGGCACTTATGCGATACATTGTGTACCGCGAAGCCCCGCGAAGCCACTTCGCGTAGCCCGGTAACTTTGACACAGGCGAAGCCACTTCGTGGTTTGAGTGTATTGCGTGCTTTCATGGCAAGTGTGTTGTGCGCTTCCAAAGGTTGATGTTTAGAGTCAGCAGGCTACGACAAGATTACAGGAAGATTACGGGAAGACGACCGGAAGAGCACTGTGCGTGTCAGGCCCGGTTTTGCTAGAAACGATGGAGCGTTTTCGCGAAGCCCCCGCGAAGCCCCCGCGAAGCCTCCGCGAAGCCTCCGCGAAGCCACCGCGGTCCAACTTCCATGTTCCGCCCCTTTGAGGCCTAGCCATGTCCCTAGTCCTGAAGCTCAATGCCTCTCTTGCCGCCTTTCATCGCCCCCTTTCGCATGGACTCAACTTGATTCAACAACATGGGGGGCAAACGTCAGAGATGTTTGTGGAACAAACATCCGCGAAGCCCGGCGAAGCCAGTCCGCGAAGCCACAGTCTTGCCGCGAAGCCTTGCGAAGCCAACCCTTCCACAAATTCTGGCCCCGCGAAGCCCCCCGCGTAGCCTCCCCAGCAGTGTATAAGCCCTGAACCTCTAAAAAAAACAATGCTCACTTGCGAGGACTACGCGCGGCTGGTCTTCGATTTGCCGTTGGAGGGTGATGTTTGGGCGCCCAGTTTGTCCCTTGGATGGCCGTTTTTTTGGCCGGGGTTCCCAACGTGGAGCCTTTGGCATGGCGCTCCAAGGAAACCTCCGGAGAAAGCCGGGCACGTGTCCGCGATCTCACCCTCAAGTCTTTGACGAAACCTGGCAATACAATCCGAGCCAAGGCTCGCCCAAGTCGCACCAGGAAAAGTGGGGGGACCGGGGGCCCAGGACCCACTGGAAACTGAAAACTTTGGGCTGTGTAACTCGCAAGACTTCGCCGGCTACCACCCGAAAGGGATGCAAAGCTTTGCGTGCCAAGCGCGTGTTCGGAAGCTCGCCCTGCCAACTCGTTGCCACATGGATGTGTCTTATTCCCCTCGAGGTTTCGAACCAAGACGCTGTCTGTGAGGCCAAGAGTCCCTGCGAGCGACTGCGGAACCCGCCCAAGGTTCCGGGGGCCAAGAAAGGAGAGGTTCGGTCAATTTTGGGCAATTTTGGGTGTGTCTTTTGTGAGGGTGCCTGCTGGTGCCCGTGTTCAGGTTGGCTGAATGGGAAACCAAAAGCCCTATGGTTCCCATTTTGAAGGGTCCCCTATGTTGAGACGCAGCAGCTTATACAGGCAATGTGGGTGGGACACAAAGGATGCACAAGGCCCCACCAAAGCCAGGTGCTTTGAATCTACGTGAAACACATTTTTGCCTTTTGCTTTAGTTGTCCAAGGGGTTCCAAAGTTTTGGGACCCTATGTTTTTCAGGGACCTTATTCATTTCTTGGTGGACAGAAATCCCCGTGAAATGTCCACAAAAGGCTTCCTTTAATTAGATTTCGATTCATAGGTGTCCAAATGTGGGGACTTCCCTCGATTTTGGTGTAGCGACGTGGGGGAAGTGCAGCTGGCCGTATTCGGCAAATGTGCATCGGGGCTGCCCTCAACAACAAGCCGCCTGTCCGCTGGGTTTCTACCGACAAAGGCAGCTTTGTCGGTAACGAAGGTAGTGAGGGGCTGAATTCCTAAATCGGTGAGTGATAATAGATTCTCTGCTTGTCCAGACTCCCTTTGACACCTGGGTGGCTGGGCACCTCTGCAAGCTTGGCCCAACGGTTGACGTACCTCACGAGGCTCTTGGAGCTCAGGGTAGCTTGTTTTTCTTTTCTGTGTGTCGCGCTACGGTTTTCTGAATCTAGTTCCATGTGCCGCTAGGACTGCGCCAGGCACCGAAAGGACTCCTAGCCCTGTTGACCCCTATACACCGAGAAACACGCAAAGCAGATCTGCATATGCCACAGTCAAAAGACTGCATTTTCTTGGTGTCGGTTGGAGATCATGAGGTGTTGGGATAGAAGTAAGCCTGGACTTGGGGTTGTTCGCAGATTTGTCAGGAAAACCACCATTGCGATCAAAAAGACGGAGTCTTGACAAGTGGGCGTGTCTTTGACTAGGGGAAGGCCACACATGGGTGGCTTCCTTTAGTTTCCCTTAAACACCCAAAGATGGTATCCTCCTACCTTGCACCTTACAGAGGGTCCTTCGAAGAAAAGTACCTTCGAGGTGGACCCCTCCATTTTTCGCCCCCAACCAGAAACAGAAGCCGCACCTAAGCCACCAAAGGGCTTCGGTTTTTGGAGGTGGCGTCCATGGAAGACGTGGAGACCCAGACCACTGGGGACGAGGCCCGATGGGGCAGGGTGGTCACCTATTGGAAGGGAAACCAGGATGTGTTTATGCGTGTGCTGTTTTCGTTTATTGTAACTATTATTATTATTCTTAGTGTTATGCTTATGATTATTATTATCATTATTATTCATTATTGTTATTTACTCTTGTTATTATTATTATTATTACTAATTATTGTTGTTATTACTATGTATTATTGTTATTTACTATTGTTATCATTATCATTATTATTATTATTATTATTTATTTATTTAGTTATGATTATGATTATGATTATGATTATCATTATCATTATCATTTATTATTATCATTATTATTATTATCATTATTATTATTATTATTCATTATTGTCATTTACTATTGTTATTATTTGTGTTTATCATTATTATTATTGTTGTTATTATTATTACTCTATTATTATCATCCTCATCATCATCATCATCATCATCATCATCATCATCATCGTCATCATCGTTGTCGTCGTCATCATTATGATTCTATGTGTTTTCTGTTAAGGTATTATAAGTGTAGTTTCTATAAATTCTATAGCTATATTTCTTTACGTGGTTTAAAACAGTGGCTTTGGTTGTGCCTTCAACCTTTTGACTGCCAACTGGCGGCAAGTTGTCCGGTTTGAAAGGGGTCAACCACCAGCGCAGGGTGGATGGGTTTGTGTCAAAGTTGGCTGCAAAGCATGTTGCGACCAGGGTCTGGCAGCGCTTTTTCCCAACTAATCTGCAAAGGGTTCAGTCAACATAGACAGCAGTCCATGGTCAATTTAGGATCATGAGGGGCTCTCGAAGTTTCCCGTGTCCTCTTGGGTGACTGCATATTGTGCGGCTCACATAGCAGCAGCCTAAACAGCAGGGAAGTACAGCATGACGACCTCCAATGTGGGGTTGCAAACCGCATGTTTGTACAGTCCCAGGATTTCTCGAAGCAAGGCTTGGCAGGGACCCCTTCTTCTTTGTGGCGAGACACCCAAACAACCTGGTTGTGAGGGATTGACCGGGATGCTTCTCAGAATTGATGAACCCAGATCAACCCAACGGCAGGACAACTGTGTTTGGGATGGCCTCGAAGTAGTTGTGACCGCTCCGTTTTTGGATAATGCTTGCAAACTGCTTCCCGCAAGTCCCGCAAGGCACATAAACATGTTTGGACAAGTGTTCGGATGTTACAGGGTCTGTGGCGTTGCTACCATGCGGCAGTTTGAGGCTCCAGACATCAACTTGCAATGACAGAGCATGCCCTTTTGCTTTGGGCAAAGCATCCCCTGAGATGGGGACATCCGACCCGCTTTTGGATGGTGCTCGAAAGGGAAAGCTACAGGAATCCAGAGGACAATCCTGGACACCGCTGCAGTTCTCCAAGTGCAAGAGGTTCACTCTCCCAAAATGAAGGAACACCCCTCGGCCCGGAGAAAAAGGACTCTCCATGGAGCCCCAGCGGCGTATTTTTGACCGCTGGAAGGTCTGGAATGCCCTGCTGCTCTTCCGGCACCTGCAGCAGGTGCAGGCAAGTCCGAGACGAAACCTTGAACAAACCACCCGCTTTGCGGGATTCCCCCATTTTGGTAAAGCACACAGACAGAGAGTGTCACGCACTGCCCAGTGTAAATGAACATGAAGCCTCAAAAGGAGTGTACGCAAGGGCGCTGACATCTCCAAAGTGTCAAATTAGAATGACCCCCCTTTTTCGGCGCGTGCGCGCGTCCATTTTTGCGGCGGAAAGGGAATCGCAGGATAACCAGCTCTTTTCAGTGGCCCCCTCTTGTCAGCCAGCATGTTCCTGTTTGCACGGGTCCATGATGGGAACTTCTTTTGTGGTTTAATTTAATGCCCGCAGCGAGTGGTGATGGGGAGCGCGCGCGAATCACCCATCAAAAGGGGCGCCTTATTTGTCTCGGTCTTTCTTGAATCCGAAGTGGAGATTCATTGGCATGTGAGCAGCTGAATTGACCCATCAGAGTGTCTGGTTTTGTAGCTTTTGTTCCAGCATAGCCATGACTTGGCGTTTTTGATATGAGGTGAACAGGCATCATGTCGGACACTAGACAAAGGGGCGCCCTCCCTGAACAATGAGATCGTGGCTCAGCTTGAGGCCCATTTGTAGATGCCGATGTCCATCTGACGGGTTCCTTGGTAGCCCACGTTTACTTGCTCGATCTTACACGAACTCCGCTGGGGTCACGAGTTTGATTATTGTTCGTGAGGGTCGTCGTAGTCGGAAATTAGGGCCATATTTTGTACTTTGCCTTGTCTACTTCCCTTTTTTTAAATGGAGAATCGCCGAGCAAGTTGCAGAGGATCCTTGTGTGCGCATGAAGTCAAAACAACCCCCACCCAAACGGGATCTCTTTCTCTATCTCAACTCCAACCACACAGCACAAGGGCTCAAACAACGTCCCCAGCAGATCGACGCTTGGAACCCGAAAAGGGGATTTGAAAACACAAGTCATTTGAGAGGGCATTGGGGCATGATAAAAGGAACTTCACTTCCGCCTTAACACCAGCCAACCACATCAAGGGGGACCGTTTATCCCTTTGAAATCCACAGGGGGGGGCGCCTTTTTGGAACGACCTTCCCTCCACAACCAACGAGCCTCTCGTGCGAGAGGAGCAGGGCGGCGCCACCGGGGGCGGCAGCGGTGTGAATCGCGTGGCCTTTCTGGCGGAGCTGGAGCTGCGGAGGCGCGGCCGGGAGCAGAAGTGGGCGCGGCGTATTTGCAAGTCTGAGTCGTCCATTCCCGAGTCACGGATTGTACAATGTATATATATATATATTAATATATATTATAATATTTTTACTCATTTATTTGCTTATATATATATATACATGCTAGGTCCCCCAGTAGTTCCCTTTTACTCTGTTCTGGGGAGGGTTCTCCTACTAAAATTACTACAGAACAAACTATCCTCTCTACTGGAGGACCTAATATACACAAGCTATGTGGCAGGCTTTTGCGTTATGTATGCCATAGTTGGTTTGGGCATGACAGATAAAGCTGTCATCAAACTCATTTACTTTTTTTCCAGAGTTTCTGAATATCATTGCTTTTTTATTGGCACTGGTTCTTACTACTGTGGATATAATATAGTTGCGCCGCAAACACACAGCCACGCACACCCCACGCAACCTCCGCGACGCACCCACACACACACACACGCACCCCACACACACACACACAAACCCACACACAGACACACACACACACACTCCCACACTCACAGACACACACGGACACACACACACACACCGAGCCACACACACAGACACACACACACACACAGACACACCCGCACACCCGCACATACAAACGCACACAGGTACACACAGACACAAACACACACACACACAGACACACACACACACACAGACACACCCACCCACCCACACACACACACACGCGCACCCCACACGCACACAAACCCACACAGACACACACACAGACACACAAACACAGACACACGCGTAC